GTAATGTACTGTTGAGTTCCAAACGAATGCCATTATAACAAAAAAACGGCGGGCAAATCATCATTCCAAATTATTTGTTTGCTGCTGACGGGAAACATGTTGCCTGTAAGTACATCTGCATCCGCCGCTGTGCAAATAACACGCAATCACTGTATAGGTAGATACAGGTCAGAGTTAGGGTCAGAGACCGACACGATTCCATGAACAAATACATCTAAATCTAAGTCCGTTATTGGTCTACTATGAACTGCGCTTTAAGACCGATTTTAACCAAACGGTTAGTGTGCGTTTGCGTTGCGATTCCGTTGCCTTTGCGTTGCGTTTGCGTTGCGTTTGCGTTTAAGTGGACAAGAAAAACGGTACAGGGTCTGTACCTGGGTCANGAAAAACATGCCTAACAATTTCCTACCAAATAAAAAAAAAAAAAACGCTGTTCCTTGTAGCTTCTTGGGAATAAATGTTTAGATTTTATTGAAGACAATATTAGAGTAAGTAGTATGCCTGACAATCTGAATGCTTAAAAATATGTTTATCATTGGTTTTATAATCCTCATGCAACAATCAAATTAAAAAAAACAACTCTGAAGTTTCGGTTTTATTTTTAAATGATTGTTCTTTGTTCTGTATATTTTGTAGTCCAAATAAACTTATGTTAATTGACATGATACAAAATATATATCTGTGTTATTCTCAAAATGAAGAGCAGAAACGACAGAAGAAGGAACAGGTAAATGAAAAAGCATAAGTAACAATTTTCTACTTTTTTTTAATTTAAATAAGCGCTGTTCTATCAAAATGATCACTGAAAGTATTTGTCAAATATTTAAGTACATACTTTCATACTTTAAATTTGTCATAGATATCTTAATGCTAAACATTTATTCTCTTCTCAAATTTATCTTAATCAGCGGTGCAGAAAATTCAATATTGGTGTAAAAATTACAAATGCACGGATTTAAAACAACATAACTATGCTTTATACATGAATCTGGCACTTGGTACAAAAACCTGGTGAAGTATTCTCTTGCTATATGTAGAAAGTCAAAGTTCACCCCAGACATTATTATATAAATTCGTATCATGGACTGAGAATATTTGACTAGTGTATCTTAATGTGCAATAACATGGATTCAATTGTAATAAACTGAGTTGACAGATTCAGTTAGTTATTTTTACATTTGATTCTTTTGAAAATTAAGTTGCAGAAATCAGAGTACTTATAAGACAATTATTTGAGAGAGTCATATAGTTTGAGGATCAATATTAGATTATAAATACACATATAATTAAACTATCTCAGTAGATCGGAGACTTTTTATATGCATTCCAACTGCATGGTTTATTTTGTTTTTAATCTTTTTTTTATGTAGAAAGAAAAAAATGAAAAGATCGAGAAAGTAAGTATGCATTGTATTGTTTTGTTTGTTTATACTCAATAATCCATATCTACATGAATCTCTCTTACTGTGGTTTACCATCCTTTCTAATCACCGATTCGCACTTTTACCGAAAAACATATATTTCAATAATGCATTTTGATTTTTTATATATATTTTTTCAACAGTTAAAATACGGGAGCTTTTAAAATGTTTCCCCGTCAGTCCCCCCAAGCATTCATATTTCGAAAACAGTGCGGCGTTCATAATATGCCTTGATTAAACAAACAGTTTTATGTATACATTCATTATATCAAGGTTATTTAAGCATTTTATATTATATTTCTTCCTTCGTGCAGTACTATCTCGAGCAATTAAGGATGACAAGGAAGCTGGTAAGCATTTCTGCATTGGAAAGTGTTAATGTCTTATGTTTACTGACATATATGTTCTCCCTCTCTCACGATAAAACCGGAAACGAAGAATGAACAGGGGTAGAGATAGGGGATATTATATAGCACGTCAAAGTACTCAGAAGAGAAGTAGTTCAGTTCATACTATATAGCATGATTTTTGTGTGGTCTTGTATGTTTATTTTCAACATTAACTTTAAACTCAATCGAGTTGGTATCTATTACAAAACGTTAACATAATCAAAACATTGATCAAGTGGCGCTTTGGAAAGCGCACACGGCTCCACATAGACAACCGGGTTTTGACTTCCTCTGTTGTTTGGTTTTGTGTGTTTGGGCTTGATGTGCTATTAACAGCTCTGGTCATGCAAGGACATTTTGTATAAATTATTGTATGTTTTATTCACAGATTCAACAACTGGAGGACGCACTGGCGAATAAACGATTAACGGTAACTAAGAACATTGAACCACATTACTGTAGCAACGCCAACGAACAAAAACCAACGCCAATGCATCGATGTATTATTGGTTTTGGTGGTGGCGGAAAGCCGGAGTTCCCACAGAAAATAAATTATGCGGCCAAAATTTGTCAACGGCCCCACGTAGTCCTCGAACCTGCGACCCGGTGGTAGAGTGCTTGCGATCAACGACGGTCAGACGCTTCAATCAATTGGCCACCGCGGCCCCTTACCCGTACAAACGTGAAAACATATAATATATATATATAGACTTTATTTTAAAACTGTTAGGAAACAATTTATATCATATTATGTAAGTCACTCTTGCTTGCGAAGATGTTAGCGTTCAGGGGGTGTAAATATGGGTGGAAACCGAAGTAACCAGAGAAAACCAATGTCACCGGGCAGGTGATCCTGTACATTTCCACAACCGATCGGAAAATAGAATCCCAGCCATCTTCGTATAAGGCGAGTTAGCTATCCAGTGGACCACCCTACCACCCAATGTATTGATGACAACGTGGGTTTTCTCCTGGTATCCTGGTTTCCGCCCACATTTAAACTGTCTCGACTCTTCAATCCGGACAAACAAGAGTCGTTAAGACCAGTTGAAAAAACACAGTTTTCTCATCGGAGTTAAATAACAAAGTTGCTACAAATAATTTAAGATAGGACGTGGACTTGCATAATTTCATACAAACACACTACACTCTCTACTTGTTTCTCATTTGTAGCAGCAAGAACGTGTGGCGGAAAGTTAGCTATATATCTATATCTATATAAATATATACCTATGTCTATATGGCACAGGGTTACGTTATATAAAATTATTAAACAAATACCATATTTCATCTTATTATCTTCAAAATGCTTTCAACCGGATTTTCTATTGCGTGTTCCCCATTTCGTATGAAATAACTTAAGTTTATATTTAATTGTAGACTGGCCCCCGTCTCTAGATTTTTATAAAGATATTGAATTATTAAGAAAAAAAATAATTCTGCTAAATATGATCACTTAGGTATACGAATCTAGTTCTCAAACTAGGGGGAGCCAAGCTAGTGATACAATGCAGTTGAAATTAATTTTCATAAAAACTTTCGGGCTGGTAGCCAGACTAATTCTTATGTTATAAATATTTTATTGCAAATGATTTCATATAGGTTGTGGACTTGCATTATTTCATTTGAAATGCAATGTTCATTTGTTCAAAATGTGTTGGCGTCATTATATTATGAAGCTACTTGAAACACAAAAGACATTGAAATCAAGCAACAGCGTTTAAGATCTGACGACTGTCAGAATACAAGTTTATTTTTGAACATTCATACAAACTTTTAAAACAGTTATTGGGCTTGCAAGTGCATAAAACCGCATCAATTTTACTTTTCTAAAAAATATCCGCGCTACAATACAACAAATCAAGACTAAAAACCGTACTCTTACTTATCCCGTACAATAGAGTGCACACATCGGCAAATGTTATGAAACATTCTAGAGTTTTTCGGGCAGCTAGAGCTAGTAGCCCTTTAATTTCGAGTAGTTTTTATTTCATAATTATCATTTTTCAAATCATAGAAATTAAGGAATACATACTTCTGGAGGTTGTAATACCATTATGATTATTTAAATAATATTCCAATTTCGATGGGATAACCGTCACAATGTGTGATTATTATCATTAACTATTTTTTTTACAGCAGTCAAGAATGTGATTGTTTTCCAAAAAAGGACATTGATCTTTGCTTGAAAATGGACAACAGCTACTTGCATCAGCCTACCTTTCGATTGACGGGATTTTAGACTCCAGAGATACCATCAGAAAGACTTACACATAACATTCATAATTATAACAAAATTATAACATTGATCAACTAAATAATTTTCTCTCTTTCCTTTGTGTACAACTTCCTGCCTAATAACACATATTACGAGCTTTAGAAGATGTTCATGATAACGAGGATTGATCAAACGCTTATTTAAAGCGTACGGACGATACCAAACACTTAACCTTCATCAGTTACATCAATCAAACCAAAGAAGAATGTTGAGGTCTTTATAAACAGAAGTTTTAACGAATTCCTCAACTTTTTTTCTGAAACCTAAATTTGAAATATTTTCTTTGATAGAACGAAAAATCCTTATAACTATACTGTAACATGAGGTAAAGCTGTCAGAAAAACTAAGGGGTGTTTGTAATTGTTAATCTTTTTCATATTTAAGTGATATTTTTCGCGATAAAAAAACGGCACCTTGATTATTCTTTTCATATATAACCTCATTAGATCTGTGTTAAGTACAATATATTAAACAATGATAGAGAATGCTTGAGTTTCTAATAGTTCTTAAAGAAGTTGTAATAACACACTGTGACGCCAGGAATGTTTTTTTTTTTTTTTAATATTTGATCATTTTTTGCAGTATATCAATAATGCTAGATGTAATATAAATCTGTTTATTTTATTGTGTATCATTTAAGTGTATCCCTTCCCTTTCTGAAGTGATTAATACGTCGGTGTTATTACAGAACTGATTTTATACTTTTCATTTATATGGTATATTAAATCGTTTGTCTTTCATAAAGGGAAATTAAGAAACTTCCGCAAATACAAAATCTACGTATATGTCAAACACTACGGATGAAAGTACATGAGCCTCACGTTTCTTTCCAAATATTTTGTTACAAAAGTCAAATAGATAGTGAACACTAATTTATTTAACGACGTTTCGCTTTCAATTCGTTAGATGCTTGTGTAAAAACTACGACATTTTTCGACCATAAAATGGTTTGGCTCCATTTTCGTGTTTATGAAAGTCCCTTTAGGTCTGACAGGCGTCATAAGCCATTATTACATGTAAAACTATTTTAATTATTTTATTGTTCTCATAATTGTTTTATGTGTAGCTCTTCTACCCAATTTGTAATCTGTGAGATGTTTAATGATTACCAAACCAGATAGAAATATGTGGTCTTGTTCTTTTCTTCTTCTTTTTAAATAAATTTTATTAAATAAATGTTCATAACTTCGTGCTTACAAACTGTTCGTCTTTTTTATGTTTTCTGCTACATTACAAAGAGGCTTACTTAAACAGTCTGCTTGTTCTCAATACCCATAGACTATGTACATGGAGACCACCTACTGAAGAGTTTGAGGTTTATATTGTTCAATACACTATACAGTCGGCATATGAATACTAGTGTAGAAAAATGTCCCATTTATATATTAATTTATTGTTAGAAAAATCATAAATAAGTAAAATATCCTATTTAAGTAAACATGATTTTATATGATTTATTATTTAACATCTGATGAAAACTAAAAAATGTCTGTAAGATATGAATGTCCACGCCGCCATGTTGAATAAGTTTCAGTATTTGGTTTTCTAATATCAATAGCAATGATGACCTTGGCCTTGACCTTGTAATTCTGAAACATGAACTCATCCGAGATATTCTGTGTATATTTATATTACCAAGATTACGTCACATGCTTTAGTACCTCACATGCTACTTAACTTTTAACTTGCACAATACCTTTTTAATAATTAGCAAGCTAAACGTGACCAAACCGCACAAAAAGTAATAGAAGGATTTAGTTCTGTTATTTTAAAGATAATGGGGTGTAAACCTCACCAAAATAGTATTAGGTCCTGAATTTAACATGTCTGATTTCCATCCAGAAAGGCCCAGAAGAACATTTGTGAAGGAAAATATGGAATATTTTAACTAAGCACGTTTGCCTTTTTCTGATAATGCTCCCCTTTGTACATGCCAGCTTCGTCAAACATATGCATCCGCAGCAGGGGTCTAGGTCAATATAGGACACCCAACACATAATGATACAACGCTTTCAATCGAAAAAGACGGCAGGAAAGGTGTTCAATCAATATAGTTTCTGTGGCAATATTTACATAAATCTCTAAAAGGATCAGAAAAATAGACAGGAGATGGGTCTGACAAAAATAATGACTGAAGGTTGTTTTTTAGAAAGAATGTTGTGTTTGTTTGTAATTTACGTTCTGTCAACAGCTACATTGTATAGTCTTTAACGTATCTGCCAGGTTATGGTTGTGGATGAAAAAACGGAGTGTCTGTAGAAAAAAAAACTGTCAATCTACCTTTACCACTTTTAAAAAAGTGACATACTGAATAAACAGTTCATATATCACAGTACAAAAAATGTGCCAATAGGAAATAACTGAACAAAGCTTAAAAAATATGTTTTTCTCTCATATATACGTATAAATTATTAATATAATATCTCACCCCATTTTGGGTGAGATAAGGAAATCGCAACCCGAGGGGGAATTTTCCTGAGTTACCAAACACGAGGCTTTGCCCTATCTCACCCCAAACGAGGTGAATGACTCTTTCTGCTTACCCTGTTCACCCATTGTGTATCATACACATAATGTAATGTTAACGTTACAGGCTAATTTCAGGGTTGACGTGGCGTTCATGGAATGTTGACGTGACGTCATTGAATTGTTGACGTGACGTCATACAATTGTTATGATTAAGGGAATCCACTGTCTCAATCCTAGGGTGCGACTAATATTTTGTTTTACCTGTAACTGATCAAGATCGGGTTATGTCAGTCGAGGGTTAAGATTCTGTAACAAAATCCCAACCGAGGCGTAAGCAGAATCTTAATTATTATATTAGTGTAAAGCTCCTGGTTGAACTTAATTCTATACTAATTGAGAGGAGTTTCTTGAAATCTCCACTCCATAGCTGTGGGGTGAGTGATCAATAGGTCTAGAATGTATTTAATGTGTATGTTCCTATGTTGTTATCTATATACTACATCTGGAATTTTAATAGTGTGTATGAGTAATTTGTAATAGTAAAAGTACAGGTTTGAAATTAATGGTATTTTTGTAATTATGCTAAGAATTAGTTTATTACCTTTTAGAATAGATAACTGAATACATATATTCAAAATAAAGATAAGAAATAAGCATACTAATAAATATCATTGTAAATGTACATTTGATAGGATAAATTGGTATATGTTACATAAACACATGTGTCGATAGAGTTATTTCCCTTTAACTATGTTATGTATGTAATTAGGGAGGCATGTGTGGTTGACCGTAGAATTTATATGTTGTTTTTGTTTTGTCAACAGTTTTTTTTTTTAAATGGAATAAATATGTGCAAATAATTCGGATCTTGTTTGTGACTGTTGTGACAAGGTAACACTTGCATGAATCAAACATCGTCATGAAAAGAAAGATTCACATTGTGAATGTTAATTTTCACTTTGAAATATATGACGTCACAGAGTAAGTAATAACGTCACATTCGTTGGCACATTACCTGACACAGACTTGCAAAAGTCCAATGTATTACAAATTATCAAAAACAATTTCACAATCGTACTGAATGTAAATATAAGGATTAAATCCCTTCTGTATTGCAATTTATGGAATATAAACAACAATGGGTCTTGAGACAAATGTGATATTTGTCTCAGGACTCATTGATATACACAACCCATCAGCATCAACAGAATTAGACAGATGTACGAAAACGAATACCTACCAGTGCAGATTGTTTGTCTGGTCAAATTATTCGTCAGGGTCATAAGTTCATCAAGCAAGGCTATCGCCTTGCGATATCTTTTTTAGATTCAATACGGTAAAGTTTGAGCTGAAGATGAAAATAGCTAAGACAACAAAAATTCAAACTTCAGTTCTAAACAAAAGACGAGAAAAAGAAAAACACGCTTTCAAGGTTACTCTGCAGTGCCCGAAAAACAAATATCAACTGGTTTCAACAACAAGAGCGATTAAAAAATGTTTTTACTGTCATATAGAACAATAACACAACCATGATGGTGACCATGATTACGTGACATATCAGACCATCAGAACTGGGCTCCGATGTCTTTTGCTAATTTGTCTTGAATTTTGCGTTAAAGTGAATAACAAGGCGGAGAAGAGGAAGACATTCATATTATTCAGGGTCACTTGTTCAAAGGTTAAGTTTATTGATATCACATCCAATCCCATTGGCTTATGCTTTCCTCTCCATATCTTCAGTATGTCTTACCAGTCTATACCAAACTCCACAAGAGTAAAGTGGAACGTAAGTGGATGGCAAGCGTACGTTTATGAGTCGTTCGGTCAAGGTTATTAAATGTTCATTCTATCCAACTGATTTCCGCTCAATTACATCATTACTGCTATACTTACTTTTACCAATAATATTTGCACGGTATTGGTGTAGATGTCATATTGGTATAAAGGCATATATACTACCCCGGGTCAGTCGGTTAAAAGGTCAAGGTATTTCAGTATGGATTCGTTCAATCTGATTGATTGGTGGTTTTAATTCTTTAGCTACATCGGTAGCGTACAGGTTCAGTAATGTGATGGTCCCAAGGTCGGCCACAGTAAGGATTCTTCTTCCTAAAGTTGTAATTCTGTTTAGCTGAAATGCATAGTGAATCATTCGATAATTGATACGTTCATGATATATAGTAGTAATATAGTAATACTGAATCATAGATTGACGGTACTCTTTATCGTAAGACTGTGTGTATTTCTTTTGCTGTGATATCGCTATAGAGATTTATAATGTGAGGTAATATTTTATGATGTCGGATGTTTTTCTTTAAATAAACAGTATGCCGAATTTCCTAGACGAGGTAAAGGTAATACAGACTTGTATTGTTATTTTGACTATGAAAAGTCATCGTTGCGTCATAAGAAATGAACCCGTTGGTTCTGAAAAACAAATATAACAATTACAATTATAACTGTTGCTCTTCTGGCGATTATCTATTTAACAAATCAATATTCCAAGTCGTCATCAATACAAAATATCAACGAAGCAAACATAATTTGCATATAAATGCGTTTTCTCTGCCTTGGTCAGCTAATAATATGTGTATGACTTAACTCATAACGAAATAAATTAATAATAATGATAAGATAAAAAAAAAACGTAGAATCAAAGTTATTCTTCTATAAATACATACACAAATACAATACGATATTTATTGTGATTCAGACGCACGAGATTGACTAGAATACCTGCCTTTATACCATATATCTCCTTCAGGCTACGCTCTTAGATACTAAAACATATCAGGGCGGCCATCTTGGTCAGGGACCTGAGCGTCAATAGAGCGCTGATTATGTTGGGTTTTTTTAAATGAGTGAATCTTTGGTTTTGGTTGAGCTTCGGAATTCCCTCACGTTTTCATTCAAATAATGCAAGAGACGATGCGTTTGTGTTGGATAAAAACTATTCGGTATGGTAAACGTCTTTAAAACAGTTTAAGAACATAACATTTCATAATTGTTCGTTCTTCATATGATCATGTCAGAACGAATGATGATCTGACGCTAAAAGTAATGATCATGTCGAGCGCCCGTCTAAAACAAACAATATTTACTGAAATAGTCATGCTCAACCATGGGTCACAATGGCTATATTGTGCACCCAATAGGAGTAATTGCAAGACATTTTAATTTGATTTTTTCCCGCGAAAATGGCAAGAATCCTTCTTTGGAAGGGACATACCCATTGGATTTATAACTTTCAAATTGAAATCAACAGGATTGAAAGACACGAGATGTCGTTGTAGCAGAATAACTACGTGATGGGATGTTCGTTGAATCATCAGAACGTCATGTTTGAATGAATCTTGTCCATAGTAGGTCACCAAGTTCGTGTGTTATTCCCAGTAGAGTCAGTGACGTCATTTTAATAAAATTCGATTTATTTTTTTCATTCACTGACCGATCTCTTCCTGTTTGCTCTACTGAATATTATGTGTCCTACATAATGCTATTGTAATTACGACTCATGTCAAGATATTAAGCCGTAAATTAAGCCGGTTTGTTAAGCTTGGTGTATAACACCATATTGGAATATATGAATTGACCCTGTCGGTATCACGTGACTAATTCAAATCAATTATTGAACCGCAGTAAATGAATGTTACCTACAAGAACTTTTTTTTCTTTAAGGACTATGTATGGTTTGGGTGTGCATCATAATTCAAAACCTTTAAATGAACTATCAAACGACCGTTTTTTTTTAAAATTTTGAATACTTCCCCGGTACTAAAAATACAGCGTACAATTATATACACTTTGTGCACTTGTCACTTTCATCGAAGCCTTACGTAAACTGCTTAAATCATATCTCTCGCCTCACTCGCTCATTTACCAAGTAATGTTTCAATCCCTCCTACTAGTTCACACTTACACACTTACACACACACTAATACACACCCACACACACACACACACACACACCCCCACACACACACACACACACACACACACACTCTCTCTCTCTCTCTCTCTCTCTCTCTCTACAGGTGACATGTTCACTCATTCTCGTATTACACCGCCTCTCCTAGGTACTATTCCCACATTCCATCTCCCTTGTGACACATACTCCAGATAGCTACATTGATACTTTGCATTCTAATTCATTTGATTTGTAACACTACATATGCTTGGTCAATCAAAAGAGTTTGCGACAGTATAACCACGATATACTGTCTGCAAACGTTATATTTACATATGAAGCCCGGATGGCTAATATCAATTAGACGGTTGTTGTCACTGTGAATCTTTTGATACAAGAAAAATAATATGTTTAAAAAGAAAGGTGTCCATTGTGAAATGATATAACATGTTTTATAACGTGGAAATATTTTGGACAGATATTACTAATGCAATAACATTATTACAGGTAAGATATCTCTTGAACCTCCTTCCACCGTACCCCCCTCCCCCTCTTAAATCCCTTTCACTATGTAAATGAATACCGCCTTACTCGTATCATAAACGATATGTTCGGCCTCGCGAGGTGATATTCTTTGCACTGCTTAAATACAGGGATTAATTTTGAGGGGAAGATTTAGTTATTTTTTAAGCCATTTACTCATATAAAAGTAGGCTGTGATAAACTATCTTTATAAAGGACAATTTCAAAACGGAGAAAAGATCGTTAACAATGGGTAGTTAAAAGTTACTTTTTATAAATTCCCAATTATATGTTTGTATTATTATTCTCTCGACAAGTACACTAAAATAAAACACTTTATCTGTTACGATAGGAAATAGGGGCCATGCAGGTAACATGCACTAGAGCTTGGGACAAGCGTGTGATATGACATCACTGATATGGAATTTTAAGGGTCACAATGATAAAAGCACTGTCAGATTTCATTTAGTGTCGGCTATTCAGATCAAACCAGGTCAACTAAGTTTTAAATACAAACTATATGTATATGTTAGTTTTCTCTCATTTTTCTCACGTGACCATTGACGAAATTAAATCAGCGAGCTGTGTGAGTATAAATATCATGTTAACATTGATAACCCGTGAAGTTGTTTTCCCCACACCCCACCCCTTTTACACACACATTTTTCTTGTCCTTTATCTGAATTTGCTTTTCTTCGGTTTACATTTTTTTAAATTTTTTTTCTGTCTTAATATACTAAGATTTCAATGCACTAAATTCATTTCATGTGTATTATTATTAGCAATTTTCTCAAGTTGAATGAACTTCACATATACTGTTCTTTGTCTGTACGGCCTGGATTTTAACCATACAAAAATGCAAAGCATTGCTAGCTTAATTTTCAAATATGTATTATACATGCGAGGACATTGCCCTTCCCCTTTTTAATAATATTTGCCGGTAGGGACATTGAATTTATCTGTGTTTAGTATACAACATCTTACATGTAACCCTTATCATTGTTATCTATGTAATCATTGATGTACCATCATCCATGAAGTATATATATGATTTTGGTTATTAAATGCAGTATGCGGAAATTGGATACCAGCTCACCTATTCGATATTTAAATTATACCTAACATATACTTCCTTGTTCAAAGTAGGAATTCATGTGTGAGAAAACGCCTGGTTATTAGGAGACGAGATTGTAGTTAAGAATCCCTGAGGTGAGTCTATTGGATAATGTTGTATTGTAACTTACACTTGATGTTCATTTCACAAACAAATCTATAAATACCAATGTATATAACAGTTTTGTATGTACTACAATGCAGACACACTTTCGCTGTGTTATATATATACAAACTTCTATAACTTAAGATATGTATAACCTATTTCAAAATGATTAACTAGTTGAACTAAAATATCGTAAGCTTCATATATTGTACGTATTTGTAACTTTTGAGTAGCAAACATGAACTGATACTTGTATATATCTTTGTCGTGTATTTCTTGGCGACCAAGACGGATAAGATTTGTCTCCCCTTGTACGTCTAATGCTATTGTTACCATTCAATTAACACGGTATTATCAGCGGCGATCGACACATTTTTTTTTGCACCTTTTGGTCAAATATCCAAACAAAATGAAAAGAAAAAGAACTTTTTAGAGTTATAAAAATAAGTATCTATCATATGTACTGACCATGTTTTGTTAAATATATTCTCCGGTGTAAGGGACCCATTTTCCCCCATTAAGTATGTGGTAGGGAAGGGACAGAGAGGGAGGGAATCCTGAACTGTGCTATATCAATCAGCTACAATTGATTTGAAGCATTATAATTTGACTGGGATTAAAATACAAATAGAAGGGCTGACACCTACCGGACTGACGGCGGTAAACATGTTATTTTGGCATATGCTAAGCACAAGGAAATGATAAATACATATCTCCTACGGGATTGGTCCGTTAGTCTGGCGTTTATTCCCTTTGGCAAAACAGAGGAACGGTTGATATCCGAGAAAATTAGAAAAATAACAACCATGAAAATAGGTGGGCACTCAGAGACATTCATAATTATGCGATTATAACTGATCGAAGAGAATAGTTCCAGCGTAAGGGATTATTGAACCACAATACGGAAATAGTGATGATCCCAACCTTTAACTAGATATTCATTGTTCAATTGCTAGGAATGAAAAGATAAATGTGTCATCAGACTAAATTATGTCTATTCATTGTTATTGAAATCAAAAATACTTATGAGATAAAAAATTGTCGAAACTGAACCTCAACCTGATATCATGCTGACTATATTGTATGATATTTACATATATGAGATAGTTACATATCTATAGCGTCACTAATCGGCTTTCGTATCTCTCTATCATATTGTCAATAAATTATTATCGCAGGTATTTTACGTTCCAGGTCTATGTTGACTCGTTCTGACCCTCGCAATGGCTGGAGGCGACCTCTCTCTGGAACTGGACTTACACCTACTGGAGTGTCCAATCTGCCTGGAGCGACTTCAACAACCCAAGTCCTTACCCTGTCTCCACTGCTTCTGTCAGGATTGTCTCGGGATCTATATCACAAAGGAACTGTCCGGAAAAATGGCGTCGGCAACATCCTTCCCTTGTCCGATCTGTAGGAGGATGACGTCTCCTATGTACCAAGCAGAAACCAAGGATAAATGGGCTGAACAGTTCCCGACTAATAATGCGATCCAGGACCTTATCCAGCTCAGAGAACTTTCATCTGAACCATTGTACTGCAAACCCTGCCAGACAAAAGGTTACCTGAACAACCCAGCAAAATTCTGGTGTAAATCGATGAACTTAAATTTTTGCGAGGCTTGTAGGGAACAACATCATGATATCTTACATTCTGACTGTGGTATAGTCGATATCAATATAAACGATATCACCCGATTTAAACCTAAAAAATCTGCCCCTCGATGTGACCGACACGACAAGAAAATAGTTTGGTATTGTGAGGACCACCAACTTCTGGGCTGCAACGTATGCATTTTTAAAGACCACAGGCGTTGTGAAGAGGTTTCAACAGTGACAGAATAGTTTGTAGAGTTAAAAACAGGAACTAAACTAGAGGGTATGCGGGCGGCGCTGAAAAAAGGGGCAGATGTCATGAACTCATTAGTAAAGGACTTTGACGAACAACTCCAGACCATGGTACAGAACCAAGAAATCGCACTGCAGAGTATCTCAGATCTACGTGAAAAGGTGGACAAACGGTTGAACAAGCTTCAGAAGGACATCACCGACGAGTTGATCATACTGTTCAAAGAAGAGAAAAGGAATAAGGAGGCATCATTACAGCAGTGCGAACGTCTGATGAATAGTATGTTAAATACCCTGAAGTCGTCCATTAAAGCCGTAGAGGAAAACGAAAATATTGAGACGATAGTGTTGTATCAGAGAGGACAGGCGATAGTAGAGTCGGGTAAGACCCTGGTCACAGAGATAAGCAAGTCCTTCACGTCCGTCAGCATTGGGCATCATTTTGTTGCTGGACATAATATCATTAGTGATAACGCTATGGGAAAGATCGTCGTTGACAAAGAACCACGATGCATCCCTTGTCACCAATGTGAGTTTGCGCCCCCTATGTTAGAACGTCGTGTGAAAGAAATTAGAAGGTTCAATATCAAGTCCCCGGCAGATAGAAATGATTGCCATGCCCTTGGTGTTGTGTACCTGCCATGTGCCCAAATTGTAGTAAGTGATTATAAAAACAACAAGCTGAAGTTGTTTACAGACACAGGACAGTACCTCAACGAGTTGACCGTTCAACGAAATCCCTGTGGTATGTGTCTTGTGAACAACAACACGTTGGCGGTCGCTGTCAAGAGTCCTGGTGGTGTTCACATCGTGAATGTCGAGGCATCAACACTTTCACTGTCGTCTGAGATCAACATGTCAAATGGTAAAAACTGTTATGGTATAACACATACTGACGGGAGGTTTGTCGTTGGTACAAGTGGGGAAGTATACAGTGTGACAAAGGACGGAGCAGCCGGGTTGCTATATTAATATAACAGCACATGTTTTTCCCTCACTCATGATCCAATGAAGGGTGACACACTTGTCAGTGTAAGTAACAAAACTACGGGGGACGTTGCGGTGTCTAGACTGTCGTCTGACAAACGTCGTACGGATGTGATGGAGGTTGGTGTTGTTAGGCGTGCTAGGGGAATAGACGTGGACAGGGAGGGTAACATCTACATGTGTGGTAATGACTCACACAACGTCGTACAGATGTCTGGGGACGGGACACAAGTCAGGGAACTTTTGACGTCATCAGATGGAATGGGCTCTCCACGGGCAAAAGCTGTTCTTGGTGACACATTTGTGGTCACTGATAATGGGGATACAGATGAGAGGAATTATATCCGTGTCTTCAAACTGTACTAAAGTATACCAATACACAATGTGTGGTGAACCCTTGCGATAAATGTTTATCATAACAAACGAATAAACACCCTGTAAAGATTTATATAAAGTTTGAGTCAAAATATAACAGGTATCCGTTTCTCAAAATATCATCAACAAACATAATCGTCATTACGATTGTTTACAATATTTGTATTGAACAAAATATGTTGAAATTCTTTGTTTTCATACTCATTGCTAGTTTTGTATATCATATGTGAAATAATAAAACCATGATAAATAAAAATTAATAAATAAACAAAAAGCAAATGGGTTTGTAATTGATGTAGTATAAAAAGATGCACTTTTTTAATCATTCCTTTAGTCATGATTTTATAATGATAGCAAGATCGTTGTTTGATGAAAACAAGTAAATATCAAACAACTTTTCATGTTAATTATCAGACCAATTTAATGACTATACACATAAGATATTTAATGGGTTATCGTTCAATACCCTTTATTTTTCACAAGTATGGAACAGAACACCGATAATTCTGTATAATTGGCATATTCTGCTGTACCTATAGTATATTCGAAGGGAAAACCATTAAATCTTCTCTTCATTACATTTCAAAAATACATACAGCAAAGACAGTGTAACTCCATCAAAACAGTTGGGGATGTAATAGCGAACCTTCTGTGACGCCATGCTTGACAACAAGGCTGCGCGCCATTTTTAAAGTGCTACTCAATAATTAATGAAATATCAACCCCAATGGATCTTGGGTCAAATTTGAACTGCCTACCTTTTTGTTTTTCTAGTCAAAATAGTCTGCTCAAAAAGCCTCGCGCCATGTAGATGTCATATTTGTATTAAGGCATATACTCTTCCTCGGGTAAGTCGTTCAAGGTCAAATTAAGTAAGTATCGATTCGTTAAATTTGATTGATTTGTGGTTTAAATTCTTTAGTTTCACCGGCAGCTTACCGGTTAAGACTCGAGTAAAGATGATCATTGTTTGAAAATTGTAATTCAATGATATATAGTAGTTATATAGTAATACTGAATCATAGATTGACGGTACTCTTTATCTTAATACTATGTGTATTTCTATTGCTGTGATATCGCTATAGCGATCTATTATGTAACGTAATATTTTATGACGTCCTACTTTTTCCTTTAAATAAACAGTTTGCAGAATCTCCACGGAGAGATTAAAGTACTAAAAAGTTGTTGTTGAATTTTCTTTCTTCATTGCTTTCCTTTTCATTCTATGTAATTATTAGTCTATGACAACAGCCACACATTTCTGAAACTCAGAGTAGCGTCAAAGCTTTCATGACATCGAGATAAATGTTTAATAAAATCAAGCATATATTAAAAGGTTATCAGCTTAATCAGCAAGATACTTTTGTGACTTAATGTAATGTTCGTTTTTGTCACCCGAAATCCAACTGTTGGTTCTGAAAAAAGGCAAATACAAGCAACATGTTTGCATCCAATCCAAATCCAACCGTTGCTCGTCTGTCTATCAGCCATTTCACAAATCAATATTCCAAGTTGTCATTGATAAACAAAAATATAAATAAAGAAAACATAATTTGCATTCAATAAGTTTCCCTATTCAGGTCAGCTAATAATACGTATGTGACTTTACTTCTAAGGAAACAAATAATATAATTATGATAAGAAATAGGTTGAAATTGTGTTATCCTTATCTACATACATACACAAAAACAATACGGGGTTTATTGTGATTCAGATGTACGAGACTGACTTGACAATCTTTATTTAACGTCGCATATACATGTTACATAATAGCATTAGCACTGTAGTGCTACTCTTGCGACAAAACATATACAAAATTTAACAAGTATCACAGTACTTATGAATATATAAATACATAAACAAAATAACAATTAAATTTTGATATGCTACAGTAGTACATATGCAATCTCAGTTTATGCAAAATAAAAAAATAGAATTTTAAAAGAAATGATTTAAAAGTGAACACTTGTATGTCACACAAGTGTTACGAAAGGAAAGGCAAGATACTATCATAGTGTAATGTACATATATGCTAATGTAGCAAAGTATAAAAAATTACAGGATATACACTAATAAAATGTGAATTAAAAAGAGACAATGAAGTCATAGATAGAAACAGAGAGCTATAATTATGATATTGTAAAAAGGAATGATCTTTAAAATAATGGAGCTCAAGCTTAAAATAAATATCACAGGCTGTATGCAAGTTAATTTCCAAAGGGGGACAACTCACACTATGTGGTGTGTGCAGATAGCACATGAGCAGACCTTAGTGTCCGAAGCGCGATGCAGCCCACGAAATGAGTAATAGTTGTCAGCTAATCGAAGTTCATTTGGTAGGCTGTTCCACACCTTGGAAGCAGCAAAACGGAAAGATCTCTTACCATATGTGGAAGTGTTCGACTTTGGGATCTTTACCAGGTTATCTTGTCTAAGATAGTAAAAAACTTCTTTCCTCTCAACAAGATTTTGTAAAATTTATGTAGAAATATCATTTAAACTGTTAAAAACCTTAGAGGCCATACCTTTATACGTTTTACATGTAAAAAATCAAGTTTGTGTCTTCTTAAAATATCAATGACTGGGGAAACATAATCATTTTCAATAAAAACGAAGTGCTCGTTTCTGGACCTGTATCCATTTTCCTAGTATTTGTCAATGTACAAAGTACAAAAGTGCCAGCAAATGGACAATGGTTAAAATTTGATAGAATAAAAGACTTAAAAATGGTAATTTTTCCTTTCTATGAAAGATTTTTACCCAGAACCAAAAGAGCGTTGATTGGTTGATTTAATTAGTTGTAGTTACGTTTGAGCTTTGGAGGCCCCTCTTGTTTACATTGAAAATACTGTAGGCGGCGATGTGCTGGTGTTGAATACACATTGTCACCCTTCTAATTTGTTACACTCTTTCTGATCGGATATCTTGCCGGAGTCTATATTTCTAAAGACCTCGCTCTGCATGGGACTATAAAAGCACGTGCGAGGGGAAATAACATAAACTAGAATCTCTCTTCATAACAACAAAAATGGCGTCCGACACACAAAAGCGTTCGAGGTTTGCAAATCATTCACGGGATGTAATAGCCTACCAGCAATCTAAAATGGCAGCAAATTCAACAAAACAGGCAATAAGGGGGCCGCTAGGGTCCTTATTGCAACGATGGTTGTGTTTTGTCCGAAATATTGCCGAAAAGGTGTCCGGTAAGGGCTAATTTGGAAGCAGTCAACTACAACTCAAACTCACAAAAGTGACTTACAATTTTGCAGGAAAAAATGTAATAAAAGATTGTCAGTGTGACAAATTCGTTTTCTCTGGATTTTGCGGGGTCTATGAGCCCGTAGACCCTCCTAACCCAGATATAACAAATAGTATTTGGTATGGTAGACGTCTTTGAAATTTTTTTTTTTTTTTTTTATTTCAATGCTGATCCTTCCTGATTACCATGTCAAAACGAATGTTGATATGACGCTAAAAGTAACGGTCATGTCGAACCCCCGTTTGAAAAAAACACTATTTACTGAAATAGTCATGCTCAACCATGACTCACAACGGCTATATTGTGCATCAAATAGGAGCGATTGTAAGAAATGTGATTGTTTCCGCGAAATTGGCAAGAAACCTTCTTTAGAAGGGACTTACCCATTGAATATAGAACTGTCAAACTGAAATCAACAGGACTTGTCGTTGCAGTGTTCAAGCGTAGCATATCGGAGAGTAGAATAAATACGTGTTTAATTTTTGTTGAATCATCAGAACGTTTTATTCGAACGAATCTTGTATATACATGTACCAGGGCACAAAGTTGGTGTCTTTTACCCGGTCAGTGACGTCATTATTGACGTCATTATAACAAAATTCTATTTATTTATTTTCATTCACTGACCGATTTGTACCTGTGTTCTCGACTTGACGTTTTGTATCTTCCTATATACTACTATTAAAACTACGACACATGGAAAGATATTATGACGTTAATAAGCAGTTTGATAATATTTGTGTAAACTCCATGTTGCAAAAATATGAAATGACAAAATAACCGGTAGTATGTGGGTAAATTAAATCACTTATTTAATTATTCATTCTGAATGCTATCTACAAAATCATTAATTATTTATTAATAATATTGTCATTACTAAAATATTCTATATAACGAATGTCTATAACATTTTTTACAATGAATGGTTTACGAAGACACGATATGTGATTTCATTTTTTATTTACGCCGATGGTGAATATAGTTTGGTTTGGTTTAGAATTGTTTAACTGTGATCATTTAAGGACGGCATCCCCGGTGTGCAAGATTCATGCGTGTAGTGTATGTTTGTGTTTTGTTCGTGTTTGTCTCCTTGTGATAGCACGGAATTGATGCCGACTTTATAGTGCTACCTCATTGAAAGATACTGCAGAAGACACCAAGCAGGACACCCGACCCAGTCACATTATACTGACAACGGCCGAACCAGTTGTCCCACTCCTAAATTGCTGAGCGTTAAGCAAGAGTAGAAACTACAATTTGTACACTCTGGTATGTCTCGGTCAGGGGACAGAACCCAAAGCCTTCCTCACAGGGGCGAACGCTCAACTAAAGGCCAAAAGAGAGGCAGACATTAGGAAGAAGAAAGTTGTGAATATACAAACTTAGATAAACTTTGACTGCCATACAAACACTCTTATCAATTTACGCAGATTCTAGTGAAATTTGACACCAGTATACAGAAATCAATAGATGTCTTACTAAGATTTACGGTTGTCGTCACAATAAATGAGCTGATCCTGGTAAATACATTGTGGTGTACAAAGCTGTCAATCAAAGGATCGACAAAGTGGCACGTCTGTTCTTCCGGTCTATAGAAAAACTCTAGACACGCTTATTCAAGACAGTAGATGGCAGAGGGTGCCAATGACCTCAATTACGGTATCGTCATATACACTGA